AGCGGCGAACGAGGGCAAACAACGACACTGGTTTGCGCTTTTAGTGCCTCAGGTCAATATATACCGCCTATGTTTAGTTTCAGAAGAAATCGGATGAAAGAAGGCTTGGACAAAAACGGCCCTGTTGGGACAATATACACATGTTTAAAATCAGGGTGGATAACAAAACAACTTTTCTGTGACTGGCTAAAACATTTTCAGGGACATGTAAAGGCTTCTAAAGATCATCCAGTTCTTTTAGTGCTGGATAACCATACAACTCACTCAAGTCTGGCTTCCTATAATTTTTGTCGCGAAACAGGAATACACCTGCTTTCCCTGTCACCACACACTTCCCACTGTCTTCAGCCTCTCGATAATGTCACGTTTTTTTCTCCATTCAAGTCAGCTTACTACCAGGAATGTGACAAATATATAAAACATAAAAAATATGAGAAAATCAATACAACATATATTACCGAACTTGTTCAAAATGCTTTTAACCGGGCTGCATCCATTGAGAAAGCTGTAAATGCTTTTCGAACCACAGGGATATTTCCATTCAATCCCGATGTTTTTTGCGAAGAAAATTTAACGCCTGTACCAGTAGCCGACGAATGTCAAGATGATCCTCCTTCTCTGCCCGATAGACATCGGACACCATCACCAACACCGGTTCTCCCAGATGAACTAACAAGACCAGGACCTAGTGTGATTCAAAATAAAAAACGTAAACTGAAATCACCGTCAACGTCAAAAGATTCTTCATCTGAATCAGAGTTAGAGGAAGTTTCAGACACTGATTTGAGTGACGATACGGATAAATCCGTGAAGCTAAAAGATAAGAATGTGTCCATCGAAAGATGTGATGAATTATGCCCTTTACCGGCACTACCAGTCAGTGGTTACATAAAAATAAGAAGCAGGAGATCTCAGAACTCGGCCATATTAACCTTTAAAAGAAGAACTGAAAAATAAGGAAAGGAAAAAACAAAAAAGAATAAGGTTGAGAAAGTGAAACGAGCAATTGGAGGTAACAAAAAAAAAATGAAAAAGTTGTCAAGAAGAAGGCTGATGACACAATAGTACACCAAACAGCACAAAGTGAATTACGTGCAGTATGTTTGGAGTTTGGATCGAATGAATTATGGTGGAGATGTCGTCTATGTGGACTATGGGCTCATGCAGACTGTACTGAAACAGATAATGCTGCTACATACATTTGCTTAAATTGTAAACCCAACTAATTTCTCTTTTTGACTTAACTGTAAGACATCTCTTATCTAAATAAATATTTGCTATGTAGTTCAACCTTAGTGAATTTGATGATCAAAATTACCCATCCCTGATAGATATTATCCAACTAAATTGTCGATATTACCTGACTGATCGATATTACTCGAAATTTTTATGCATATCAAAAATAATTTTTACATAATAACTTTAAAATATTTCAAAAATTTTGAAACAGTTATTGGTTAGCTGAATGCGTAAGCGAAGTGTTCGTACTCTAAATTTCAAATTTGTAAAAGTGTTGGCAAAAATTATATAACGTTTATTCTTAAGTAGTCGATATTCCCCCACCTTACCCTATCATAATACACCTAAATACATGGAGGTCATAACACAACAAACTTTGATTTTTCTTATGATGCGACCTAGAGGATGTTCATACTAACCGCTTGTACCGTTTTACCATAATTGTTGACAATTTAGAATATTGTTGTTGAGTTGACAGAAGGAACGTTTAAAGATTATGGATTTTAATGACTTGTAAAATTCTCGATGAGATTTTGTTTCTTATTTTTGAGTTTTTTTTTGAAAAAGTTACTTAATTTCATGACTTCTATAAAAAGTTAAAAAAATAAGTCTTAACTTAGGAATCACCTATGGAGAGCTTTTGTTTTTAGCTTTTTGGTTTGGTTAACTTTTTTACGATAACCTAAATGAAAAGCTTAAAATACATTATTTAAGTCCACAAGAGGTAGAAAGAAAGTTTTTACCTACTAAGAAATTTTTCTTTATTGCTTAATACTTTTTCTCTCATAATATATTTATTAGATTATCAAATAAATTTTATATGATATTAATTTTATACAAACATATTTCATGGAGCATAATTTGTTAAGTTACTTTTAAAATCAATTTTATTGATCTTTTTGTTGTTGAATCGATATTTTGATAAAAGCAGAGAGATAACTATGTTTCTATGTTTGTAAAAATATTTAGTGTTTTTGCCTTAAAGCACTTTACTAAAGTGCTGTCTAAATATGCTGTGCATATTCTTTATGTATGTAATATTACTGTACTTGGTACATAAATGAGTCAATGTAAACCTACTCAAAATATTCTTAACCGAAATAAATTCAATGTGAATGTTCTAAAAAGATTTCTATATCACAGGCTAAAAATTACCATATTATAAAAATAAATACATCAGTTTAGCTATTGTTGTTTTTAATAGTTGATTTGCCAAATTTATTAATATTTCTTTAAACAGGAATTCATCTGTTTATTTTAAAATAAATAGGCAGATAAATAAAACGGCTAACATATCTCTAAACATTTTCATTTGGAATTTCGATTGGCTGAAAAATATTAAAGAATGTTTCAACAGTTTTTGATCATCGATTATTTATAGTGAAGCGAAAGTATCCATGGAATAATATTTACAACGAACAAACGAATTGTAATAGATGTATTTAAGTTTGTAATATAAGCGTCACCACTTTCAAGCAAAATGCATTCACACGGGATTGGGCAGGCCGGATTTTCTTTAAGAATAAATACTGGGTGATGCTTCGATCATTTCAATGAGATCTTATTGGTTTGAAACAACTAAAGAAGGAATCAAATATGTTTCCTAGGCTAGTAAGCAGGTGACAACTTAAACATTAAGTATAACATTTTTCAAACTTCTTGGTAAGATTTTGCAACTCGATACAGGGTCGCCAATATTAATTAATGGTTTGCTGAACGATAAAAAAATGTGCTATAGATGCAAATTTGATACCATTTTCATTTTAATATTGAAGACTTGGATCTGAATTTTCAGTCACTTATGACTCCTGCATTTTAGTAAACAAATTATTAAGACTAGGGCTAAAGCCTTTGAAAAAGGTAATAAGTGAAAAAAATAATAGTAGGATGAAATCCATTGGAAAAGGAAGAGAATATAACAAAAATAAAAGTAATAATAATGTACGGGCGATCTGAGGTCGGGAAGTGGAAGGGGGCGAGTTTTTAATGGTAAAAAACGGTTTACTTCGATTTCCGGCAAAACTACAAGTCCTATGGAAAAAAGTTAAGTAGTAGAGTTTTAGGTGATAAAAAGATCTACCACTTTTGTATTTACACTTTTTTCACATAACCTCAAAATTTATGTGAAAAATTCAAATAACCAAGTTTTTGGTTTTTTATTTTTGTCTTTTACAAAAAATGTGTTTTTTTCAATAAATTTGGTAAAAACTTACCTTTTATGTCCCAAATACACTGTAATTTTTTTGATTTAAAATACATATTTTTTCACCTTATTTTGACAATATTGAAAAAGCACCCTAATTTTCAATCGAAATTTCTCCCATCAAAATAACTGGTTTTTAAAAAAGTCGGTGAGCTTTTTATTTGTTGAAATCTCTACTTTCTGATGGTGTAAAAAATATATACATTACTATGGTAAATGTTCTCAGAAATGCAAAGAAACGAAAAAAACTCGAATCCAAAAATGTTTAATCATTATGTACAAGTTTGAGCTATGTATTAAAACTTACACTTTAATTACTCGAAAAACGTAAAATTCCATGTTACACTGATAAACAAAAAAATTACAAATCCATAAAACATAAAGATTGTAAAAAATATGCGAAAATAGTTGTTCTAAATATTAAAGATAGGATTTAAAGTAAATCTTCAAAATCTTCAAGACCATCACCGTCTTCGTCTCCAATACTATTTCCGGTCTGCATTGGTTCTTCATCCACAATTTCATCTGAATCATTAACTTCCTCGTAGGTGATTTCTTCCAAATTGGAGCATTTTTCAGAACCATGACAATTTGAACATAAATTTGTGCATTTTAAACCATGTCCCGGACATGAGGGATTTCTAAAATATACTGCTAGATGGTGCTGATAGAGGCCAATTGCAGCGCCAGGTAGTGAAGTTTGACGTAAATATTTCAAATATAATTAAGAAAATGTCATTGTCCAATGAAGATGTGGTTTACGACAATGTCATAACAAAACGAAAAATGGGTGTTAAAAGTGTTGTTTAAAACTGCGAAGTTATAAAAAAAGCAAAGGTGAAAGGCCATATACAAACTACAAAGGAAATGCAATAAATGCTCGAGTCAAAGGACAAAACTGTGGGTAAGATATGTGAATTTTTAACCTCACTTCTGCAAGAAATTAGTTGGTTTCATAATGACGACTACAGGTGTAGGGCAAAATGTTTTTCAAAAATACCCGAAGGTATTCGTGCTTAAATCTTCAAGAAGTTTTATGATTTAACTGCAAAAAAAACTGAACAGGATGCGTATCTCCAGGCTTTGATAGAATGTACTCCAGTGACAAGAAACCGTCCACGAGTAAATCCATACTTTCAAATACAATGTATCTTCTAGTTCTGGTAAGTTTGCAGTATGCAAGGCGGCATAACCACTGATCGTGTCCAGCGTTTGTCCAATCTACTTTATTTGGGAAAATCTCCTAGAGACAAGCGAGGAAAACAAACTTCTGGAAATACCATGCCAGGAGAAGTCATAAGATTGCTGGAGGATCACATTAGAACTTTTCCTGTCAAGCGTGCTCATTACACTAACAGGGATTACCAATATATGAGTAAAAAACTGGAAATCAAGAAGATGCATCAACTTCTGCTTGAGAAATACCCAGAATGATCTGTAAAGTACAGTTTTTATAGACGAATTTATCTTTTGGAAGGCCCCAAGTGGATACATGTTGTACGTGCGAAGAAGTTTTTAAACAAGATTAAATCGAAGTGTTTAAACGATGTTACAAAGAGGGTTGCTGTTGCTGAAAATATGATCCATCAAAGAAGAGCGAAGAAGTTTTCCACGACAATGGAGTCAATCCAAGAGTTATGCCGAAACGATCCATCGGTTGGCCGGATATGTATTGACTACATGCAAAATCTCTCTATTCCTTCGATTCCTGTCCAGGATACATTTTACCTACACCAGTTGACAGTATACGTCTTTAATATCGATAATTTGAAAACTGGTGAGTCGTTCTTCTACATCTATCATGAAGGTTTGGGCAAGAAAGGACCCAACGAGGTTTGTTCTTTTGTCTTGGACCAGGGGCGGCTCGTGATCAAAATTTTGGGGGTTCACAGTAGCAGAATATAGATCCCGGTACAGATATGGGTAAAAAACTGTCAGTGTTTTAGAAACTTCCTAAAACACTGAAAGTTTTTTCATACATCTGTACTGATACCTATATTCTGTCACTGTGAACCACCCCACGAGCCGCCACTGTCATGGACTACATAAGGCAAAAAATTCCTGAAACTATTAAACATCTTCAATTTTTTTCCGATGGATGTGGCGGACAAAATAAGAATCACTGCGTTATAAGGATGTGTAGGGCGTTAGTAGATCTTTGACGTTTTATGACTGTTAATCAGTATTTTCCGATAAGAGGGCATTCCTTCATGCCTTGTGATAGAAACTTCGTTGTGACACGTCAAGCTCCAAAGGAAGTTTTTCCGTTTATCTGATGGATGAAGAAAACAGCGTGTTAAAAGATTACAAAACATGGTGGTCCCAATTCTACAAGAAAAACTGCTTGTCTACAGATTCCTTAGGTAGAGGTGTACCAAAAGATGAGAAAGTTTCCTTCACTATTTCAACTTTTATGCAGTTCACTCATACAGAAGTCAAGAAAGGTTATGTCCTTGCCCGCAACTACATTGATGGTCTTATCGAATATGAATTTAAATTAAACACATCCACGCCAATCACATCTTTTCCCGTCGAAGCTGCCTATCCAGACGTCAAGGTACCAATTAATGCCAAAAAAATGGTATCTATCAAGAAATTTGAACGATTTACTCGCAACCAAAATGAACCGATAAGAAATTTTTATCAAGACATATTTTCCTGGCCAACAATGTGTAGAGAAGATGAAGATGTTGAATATTAAACATTTAAAAATAAATAACTAAAAAAGTTATGTGCAAATAAACGTGTATTTTAGAAACCACACATGTCCAGTCGCCATTTTATGCTTTTATTGATGCAGCAAAAGCTGTATATTTAAATTTGCGTGAAATTTCTAACGTATTCACATAGCTTTACAAACCCTAAAATTATATTTCCAGTTGTATAATGTGATTTCGCAAAAAACAGTTTTTTTTCGTTTTTCTCAAAACTGTCATTCGTGGATTTGTGGGGTTTCTCAAATATGTGATTCAATTATAGTAGTATATTTCAATTTGCAATTTTTTTTTTGTTTATCAATGTAACATGAAATCTTACGTTTTTCGAGTAATAAAAGTGTAAATTTTAATAAATAGCTCCAAATTGTACATAATGATTAAAAACAAATTTTTGAATTCGAGTTCTTTTCGTTTCTTTGCATTTTCTGAGAACATTTACCCTAGTAATGTATATATTTTTTACACCATCATAAAGTAGAGATTTTAACGAACAAAAAGCCCACCGACATTTTTTAAGAAAGCAGATATTTTGACGGAAGAATTTTCGATTAAAAATTAGGGTGCTTTTTCGATATTAAGTCAAAATAAGGTGAAAAAATAAATATTTTAAATCAAAAAAATTACAGTTTGTTCGGGACATAACAAAGGTAGGTTTTCAACAAATTTCGTGAAAAAAACTTTTTTTGTAAAAGAAAAATAAAAAACCAAAAACTTGGTTATTTGAATTTTTCACATAAATTTTGAGGTTATGTGAAAAAAGTGTAAATACAAAAGTTGTAGATCTTTTTATTACCTAAAACTTTGCCACGTAACTTTTTTCCATATGACTTGTAGTTTTGCCGGAAATCTAGATAAACCGTTTTTTACCCTTAAAAACTCACCCCCTTCCACTTCCCGACCTCATATTGCACATAAATTTTCCTTTCATTTTTGTTACCTATATTATCTTCCTTTTCCAATGGGTTTCATCCTACTATTATTTTTTTTTTGTTTCAAAAATTATCGACCCTGGTCTATTTATATGTCATTGAATTAATTTTTATACATGAAAATTTAAATTTCAAAAAGCTGTAAAAACAGTAAATAATTATTAACAAACTAAATTAAAACACATAAATTTGAGGTCTTAGGAAAAAATAAAGTGGACATAAAAACCTTAAATAAAATTTTACCTAATATTCCATGAAACATGACCGGCGATTAGTAAATGATTGTTTTTTTTTTTATTTAAAATCATCAAGAAATTATTGAAAATTATGTATTTCGCGTGTTTTTAAGATCGTGACCCATTTTGAAGTTTTTAGGTAAAAAAAACTTAATTTTAAGTGTTTCTAAAGCGAAAAATTTATTCAAAATTGTCTTTTAGAAGTTTTAAAATATCCTAAAATATCCTAAAATTTAGCACGTTCATGTCTTGGCTTATTTTTCCAAATTATATTTTGTCCAAATTTTTTAAAATGATTTTGAAATTACCCACTAGGGAATTTCCTAAAATGTCAAACCATGAGATTAATACTATGAATTATATAAATAATTTAAAATGCTTTTTATATTAATTCAATAAACGTGATAATTCAATGTATCGCCTAACTACTAAAAACCTCCATAGGAAATCGCGAAGCATCACCCTGTAGAAGAACATCGGGAAATATAAATAGTGTTCCTAGCTATTTGTTTATCGTAAATGTAAACGCGGCAAGTTTAATGATAATTGTACTACAATACACTGTTTATTTATACTAGTAAGAGTTATTCTACAAATAACAACAAGCTCCTCTTAAAAGCATTAATCAGTCCAAGATGCTTGAATAAAGATTTTATAGTACGTTAATACGTCTACATTTAGCCCTATTTAATTATTTACACAAAATGTTCTGTACAACATTAGTAAAAAGTAGTGGGAATGAAATTGGTAAAATTACTGATTTGTTAGGGGATGGTTATTGTTACTGGTTTCATTTAAAATTTACCAACGAGACTGCCTCAACGTTATCATTATCTTAGAATCAATCTGTAAATTCATAATAACAACATAACTATTCTAGAATTCAATAAAGTAAACACAAATGTTTTAAATCAAATTTAATATTATCGGTGATTTATTTATCTTACAGGATTTAAATAATTTCAAAATTATTCTAAACATTTCATTGATCATTGTTAGACTATATTTTTGTATAGAAAGGTAATACATATAGAAAAATGAAGCTATTAAATTAACTCTTATCGACATCTGTTTTTTATTTATTGTAGCAACATTTGCTATTACTTTTTAAGTTTCTATAAACTGTCTATTTCTAGTTATTCTTGAATAAATATTATGATTAACGTAAGATTTTGAGATATTCAGTAATATTACAAAAATGGCGTTTAATCAAGTTGTCATAGGAGATGAAATATCACAATTGATTTGTCCTAATTTTGACAGTTCAGATTCTCTGATTCAGCTCTGAAAAATGACTTATAACTAAGTTAAGATATTCGTAAAGGAATTTACAAACTGGGTGGGCGCTTGTCCAAGCAATTTATAAGGCCATAAAGAAATCTGAAGAGGTTATACCTTGTGTTAATTTACCTAAAAGCTGTCGAAAATTTTGGTACCACTAAAAAAAATAGTGAGTTTCTAAAAACAGCGAAACTTAGCGAGAAAATTATGTGTTTCAAAGACGACGGTTTTAAGAACAATTTTCCGATATAATATGGTGTTCCAAAAAAAGAAGGAAGGTACCTAAACATACTAATACCCAATTGAGAAGAATTCCTAGGTTCGTTCTGTAGATAAAATTATTGTTATGGATAATGAAAAATATTTACCTTTCAGATGAAGGAAAACGATGATTTTTATACCGACAACATAAGAACTAACCAGAAAATGTCAAGTTTTAAGGTACATCTATGGTGGGCCATTTCTGACATCCTTACATTGATCGTGTTCGAGAAAAAGCCTTATCTGCAGAACTTTATATGCAAAGATATCTATCTAAACTGCTTCGATTTTTAAACACACACCTGCCAATGATGATACAATCCTCCTAATTTACCACAAGATTGACCAAAGATTTCTGGTAACGATTGAGCAGAAACATATACGACAATTAAAATTATGACGTCGAGAAATCGTATCTCTTGTTGGACAAGTCAGAAGAAAATTAAGTGCCATTGAAGATAATGGTCCATTATCATTAATTTAAATATTATATATATGAAACATTATAAACTACAATATATACGTTATCATTGTGAATTAAAACCTATCAAATTAAGATACTAACAAAAATGAAACGATAGTAGTAAGAAATAATGAAATTTTCAATCAACCGTTTTAATGATTCTTAGGAAACATTACAAGCAAAGACTGGACAACGGCTTTGAATATTTTATATTGGATGATATAAAAATGGGAGCTCCCCTGGAAGAAATTGTAGAACTATAATAACTGTATAACTGATAACGAAGTTAGTGAAAGTGATGAAGTTATTTGAGAGTTTGGTATGTATAAATTTATAATTTGTATGTAAATTTTATTTATACAATGTAAATGTACTGATACGTTCCTCATTCTAGTGCTTACTTTTTAGAATACACTATATTTTTTACTACTATTATTATGAATATTTGAATTCGCAACCATTCTTTAAATGTAAGTCATTAAATTGATAATATGGCATAGGCATATGTTTAAAAATTGCTTTAACAAGCAAACAAATAATTGTCTGATTGACTTTACGGGCATAAATTTCAAACATTTACATTGTGGAGCTTTATTGTCAAGAACAGTTTTATAGAGTGTTGATAAAAACAAAACTGCAAATGCAATAGAAAGTGTTAAATATTTTATTGACATTTTTGTCTAAATTATTTAATAATGAATAGATTCTAGTAAGTATTTCCTTATATTCTACTAAAGGAATTATATCCCACTATAGCAAAGTAAATACATAAATGTCAACTTTTTATATTAGCAATTAAGTTGTGTAAGCTGTACTAATTTTATTCTTTAGTTTTATCAATTACTTTTATTACACTTAAATCTATCTTAATCTCTTCATATATTAGATATTACCTTATTATTTTTATTAATATTTTTTTAATATTACCCAGAACAGCTAGAATAGTAGTTGGTTATTAAATATAAAATAAAATATGATTCTGCCAAATATAATATACAAATGAATAAAGAAAATTCTAAATCAATTTCACATAAAACATTTTATTAGGTTTAAAGATGC